AGTAATCGTGAAAGACGCGGTTCATCAAGTCCATGTATGCCGCTGGCGCATTAGTCAAGCCAAAAGGCATAACAAGGAACTCATAGTGTCCATACCGTGTACGGAATGCTGTCTTCGGGATATCCTCATCCCTAACCCGCAACTGATAATAGCCAGACCTCAAGTCAATCTTCGAGAAACAACTGGCTCCCCTCAACTGATCAAATAAATCATCTATCCTTGGCAAAGGATACTTGTTCTTGATGGTGGCATGATTCAACTTCCGGTAATCAATGCACAACCTCAAAGATCCATCTTTCTTCTTAGCAAATAAGACCGGTGCGCCCCACGGTGACACACTCGGTCGGATGAAACCTTTCATCCTCAAATCATCAAGCTGCCTCTTCAATTCTTCCAATTCAACTGGGGCCATTCGATATGGTGCCATAGAAATCGGCGTGGTACCTGGCATCAAATCAATAGTGAACTCCACTTCTTGGTGTGGAGGCAACTCTGTCAAATCTTCTGGAAAAACATCCAAGAAGTCACAAACAATCGCCGGATAAACTTCTCCCACGCCATCATCTTCTTCGGCTAGAAGACTAGCTAAGAAATAATCACCATGACTTTGTCCATGAACTCCATAAAATGATGAAATGTGGGAATCACTCCGATCTCCCACGAAAAAGAAACAGTCTCCCTCGGGAGTGCAAACTGTAACCCTTCCTCTGTAACAGTCGATCGTGGCATGAAATGAAGCCAACCAATCCATCCCGAGAATGACATCAAAGCTAGTCATCTCCAGGAGGATAAGGTCAAACACAAAGGTCCGCGTGGCTATCACAATGGAGCAATCCCGCATAACTCAACTCAATAACACTGAAACCCTAACTAGCGTATCAACACATAACGCCCGACCCATGAAACTAACCTCTAACCTCGATGCAAGTGCAAATGATGATGAAATGAAAGAATGAGATGCACCAGAGTCAAACAAAACACGGGCCCAACAACCAAACACTGGAAATATACCTCGAAAAACTGACGGTCCAGAAGATGCATCGGTCTGTGCCAGTGCAAAAACACGTCCCTGTGGTACCTGTGCCTGAAGACTGCCAACCTGAACACCTGACTGCTGCACTGACATAGTAGGAGTATCCCTCCTAACTGATCGTGAACCCTGTGAAGACATAGTAGGCTGTGGTGGTGGTGGTCTGAAACCTGGCTGAACTGTAGCCGATTGTGACGGCCTCTGCTGTGACCCTCTGCCACTAATGGTGCCTGCTCTCTGACTCGGACAATCACGAATCAAGTGACCCTGCTGGCCACACCCATAACAAGCCTTCGGAGCTGACGAAACTGAAGACGATCTCATCGGACAACTGGACTTGTAATATCCGGGCTGCTGACACTGATAACAAACAACTGCACTCTTGTCAGGTCCAGCTCGCATAGGAGTGGTAGGAGCAGATCTTGTAGACTGTTGCCCCTGAAACTGAGATGGACTGCCCCTGTTCCTTTTCCAAGAAGATCCCTCTGAAGATGGCCCTGCACCCCTCTTTTGCTTCAATTGCTCTCTTCTTGCATCATTCTCTCTATTGTCAGCCTCCAGCATCAAAGCCCTTTCCACTGCTTCAGAGTAAACCTTAATAAACTGTGCCGTGATCAACGGCCTCATTCGATCATTAAGACCCGAGACAAACTTCCGAGTCTTGTTAGCTTCATCTCTCACCACTTCTGGAGCAAAACGGGAGAGTAAGGTGAACTTGTTCTCATACTCCGCCACTGACATGTTCCCTTGAATAAGGTTATGAAACTGGTCTTGTAACTCCCATCTTTTGGAAAGCGGAAAATACTTCTCATAAAACAGCTCCTTGAACCTGTCCCAACTCATTTCTTCAATCTTGTACTGGTTGGTGATCGACTTCCACCAAACCTTGGCATCCATAGCAAACTTGTAAGTTGCTAGGATGATCTTCAAGTGATCATCTGTCACATCCATTGAGGTTAATTGAGTTTCGACTTGATCTATGTAGTTGTCGGCTACCATTGGGTCCGCACCGCCCTCAAACATAACCGGCATCAGCTGAGAAAACCCCTTAATGATCTTGAGATGCTTCTGAGCTGGAGTCTCCTCAACTCGAACTATAGGTTGTGGTGCCGACTGCGACTAAGCAGCAATCGTTGCCCTTACGACATTTTGCAACAAACGATTAAACTCCAGTGCCACAGAACCTTCACCCACTTCTACAGGTACAGGTGTTTCAACATTCTCTCTTCTTGGGGGAACAGCTCTTGGGGGAATCAAGTCCCTAAGAAGCATGTTCTCATTAACTGGCTTCACCGGATTGGAGCTAGAGCTCTTACCAACATCACCCCTTGTTGGCCTAAGGCCAACTTCTCTAGGTTCCTCACGCCGTGACATCGTGCTATAAAACGAGAAAACGATTCAGAAACATGACACTAAAGTCCACTGTGGACGACTCAACAAGAATTAATACCGTACAACACTTAGCATGCAAGACTATGCAAGAAACATTTTAACATAAGCAAGTAAGCACATAGGCAGTTAAGCATGCTCATTTAAATAAGATACCACGTAGCAAGTAGTCAAGTAAACAATACAAACAACATCCCATGCGACTCTATGTAGGCCTATACCTGTCGTCCTAAAGGTTTTCGAACCTTTGCTCTGATACCAAATTTGTAACGATCCCAAAACTAATGCCAAGAAATTTTTTTTTTTTTTTTTTTTTTTTTAAACAAAAATTCGGCATAACCTCCCTTAAAAATGGACCTACCGCAACCTGTTTAAATGCATATTTAACCTGTCATGCAACTAATTTCTGAATTCACGACAACAAAAGATAATGATACAACCTACTAATCTAGGCAATGCTTCAAGTTAGGATTATTCTTCCATTCATCAACAAGTTACATATCATCAAGTTCGCATCACATATGTCATCAAGTATCATAAGTGTATTACATGATCATGGTTCTTCAAAAGAAATTTACATCATTACACCTTTGGAATTTTACAAAAAATGAGGGATGAACAAAGGAGTAGTCTATTACAAAATAACAAGGAAAATGCTCCTCTAGCAACTTTCAAAGTTGGGGTGGATTGTCATCCACCGGTTCTTTTCCAAGACCTGAAAAAAAATATATAGATATAGGGGTGAGCATATAGCTCAGCAGAGACACTTAAGACACAATTCTTGTGTCCTAGTGAATCCAATCAAAGCATAGGCCAATGGGAGATAGGGTTCATACAACGTAGGGGATCAAATACAACATACAATTCAATTCCAATTATAAACAATGTACTGCAATGCAATAAAATGCAATGCATGTCAATGACACTCCCCATTTTCATTCTCAAAACCATCACTTTCAAACGTTAATACAGCCCGCCCTTTGGTAACCCCGCCGAGACACGAGAGGAGGATTGGCTAATGTCCCTGACCTTTGGTAACCCCGCGGCGTCATTATGGGGCCCAGCTAGCTCAACCACACTAGGGCGACTCCGTAGTCCCCTCTAGGCTATATTAACCTCCGGCCCATTGGTAACCCCGCAGCGACCGGGTTTATCAAAACCAATTTTTCCAAACACATCACCCAAAATTCCCATTTTTCTTTTCAAACACCAACATTCCTTCCTATGCAACCCAATAAAATGTATGTATCTTACATGATGTCAATACAATGATAAATGGGAATTTAACACTCTACAACAAGTACCATTTCATATAACATTATAGCATGCTTGTAAAATAATAATCATGATAGAAACTCACTATATAAACATGCTATCCATTCAATCAAGTAACACATATTCACATAACATGGCATATTCTGAAATATCTCAGTTTAAACAAGAATCAAAGCAATCAAACATTCTGTAACACAATTAGAAGAGCATGATTCAATATGGAACAAGATTCCATGGCTTAAGATGTCCCTACCTCAAGATTGCACCAAAACCCTAGAAAATGGGTCCTCAAATTCGAACTCCCAAAGAGGGCCAAAAGCTAGAATTTCTGATACTGGCACGTAGGGCTCGTCGTGCTCGTCGTTTTGCCTCAAACGGCACCTAAATCCGGCAAGGATTAAGAGAGTAATCAAGGGTTAAAGCTTGAAGTGAAAAAAAGAAAAAAGAAAAAAGAGAAACAGCCGAGAGAAACAGAGAGATGGACGCGAGAGAGAGAAGATGAGGTTACAGTGAAAAAAAACATGGTCTTAACATTTGTAGGTCCCACTTTTTTTTTTTTAATATTTCTTTTCTCTTTTTCTTTTTTTTTTCTTTTCTTAATACACACCACACACACAGACATATATATATATAAAGGCACAAACATTACATGCTATGGATAAAGTCTACAATATTCAGGATACTGTGCCCTTAGGTCCTCTCAGCTGATTTGTTTCATGTTCTTTCTAGACTTCTAGCACAATTATTTTTGTATATGTATATGTTCAAATATATACATTTAAGGTTGACAACGAGTCAATTTGTTGATAAACAGTTCGGACTATACTTGATTAAAACTCCGCATTAGACATGCTATGGATAAAGTCTACAATATCCGGGGGTACTGTACCCTTGGGTCCTCTTAGCTGATTTGTTTCATGTTCTTTCTAGACTTCTAGCACAATTATTTTTGTATATGTATGTACAAATATACACATATAAGGTTGACAATGAGTCAATTTGTTAATGAACAGTTCGGACTAAACTTGATTAAAACTCCGCATTAGACATGATATGGATAAAGTCTACAATATCCGGGGGTACCGTACCCCTGGGCCTCTAAGCCGGTGAATCAGCTGTTTGTTTGTTATTTTATCAGTCAACTTCAGATTCATGATGGTAACTTGTTTGAGAAGCCCAGAGGCTACAACTGATTCGACAAGCAAATGAAGAGAATTAATGAAGATGCACATATATATATATAGAAATGTATAGAATCCATAACTCTTTGATATGGTATATAGGCATATGATAATGCCTAAAACAATTATGTCACAAGTAGTATAACAAGCAAATGAAGAGAAATGATAAACAGTGACGATGACAAGTTGAACAAATGTCCACTCTCAGACACATCAGAAAACACTTCCATGGCATTTAAAAGTGGCGCCAAAGTCGAGCCCTCCGCCGGAGAAATAGTGACATTGGCTGAACCATTGACCGGCACCGAATACAATGTTACGACATGGAATTGATTCTCCAAAAAAGTGTTAATATTAGGGATATCGGTAACAGCCATTTTGTTGTTGTCGATGTAGATTTCAACACTACTAGTTTGATTTTTTTCCAACCGAAAAACAGGGTCCATGAAATAGAGCACAAAGTAGGCTTTTACTGCTGTTCGAGGGGAAAAATCAATGCACAAATATATAGAGTCCCTTAGATTTGTTGCTTGGATCGCATATCCCATTACTGGCAATGGTGGCCTATTTTCTCCAATCAAATAATCATAACTTATGGAGTCTGCCTGAATGTTGAGATAATTGGACATTTCTTTGGATTTCCAGATCCGGTGATATTTTTCTGCATCGTAATTCATACTTTGCCTGTAAATTTCATCCCCATACACCCCAGTAGTTAATTACCATACATACAGGATTACTCTGAAGGATTGTGTAATTTCCAAATGCACTTCAAAATATGACAGCATAAAAGTGAGAGAAGTTAAAAGTGCATGCATATCATCAAGGAGTCGAATTCACTTACTCAATGCTTGTATCGGCACCGTAGTTGATCCTGCTGTGAAGGTACAAAGGTGTGGTGTTGTCCATCCAATTATAAGCATCATAAATGTTATAGGCTTCAAGAGAAGAAATGAAGGGAACATCATAGTCCATGGCACGAATCAAGCAAACGCTAACTTTCGACTTCTTTGTTATGTAAAGCAGTTCATAGTAGATTATGTCTTCGCTCATTGAAGTCGTTACATTTGCCCATAGGATCCCATCTATCTCTAGACGAAAGCTAGGCGGGTTTGAGAGGCCATCATAGTTGCCATAGTAAAAGCCAGCTCGAAAGAGGAACTTGTAATACGCATGATAGAAGGGTAACTTATAACAGTTCTTGTGGCCTTTGGGAAAGGAGCGTAGGGTATACGCCTTAAAGGGAGTGTTGCTGGTGAAGGCGACTTTGTTCTCTCCACTTTTAATGAACCCTTCGTCTGTTAGCCATGGTATGTAGCTATTATCGGTTGCAGGGGTTTGAGTGTATGCTCCACAGTCTATGCGCAAGTCGCGGAACTGGAACCCATCACCTGTGATCATATACATATATATATAGAGAGAGAGAGATTATTATTTTAGATGATTATTTGTAAGTTCACATGACATGAATAGTACTGCTGATTGAACCTTACTTGTATAATATGAAGAAGCTTTTACTGCATAACACATCAGCAGGAGCACCGCCATTGTTTTCCATCGATCCATGGAGAGACAGGATGTGATGGACCAATTATGCCTTCTATGTGGTAGCCCATGGAACATATATATCCACAAATCAATCTCAAAGTTGCATACAACACAAAACAATGTCACCATTGACTTTTGATGTTACATGTTAAAGTGGGCCCATGGATATTACATCTGATTTATCATGTTGGCCGGCCTTCGGATCCCGGATGTTGAAGTTTTTTTCTAGTTTTTGAAATACAATCACACACATATAAATATATATACAGTACTTTGGAACAATCAAAGCAAACAATTCAAGTAGGTACAGGACCAATTTGACGGCTAATGATTAAATAGTCAACCCCTTCCTAGATGCAAGAAACAAATCAAAGGCTGGGCTTTGAAATAAGATTGGATAATAAAAAGAACAATAACAACAACAATAATAGGTTACTAGAGGTCGTTCTAAGGCATCACCAACTTGGCATACTATGTCGAACGACAGAAACAAGGCATGAATTTCCTGTTTTGGTGTATCTGTGCTCGCATGGACTTTGTCCTCATGTGTGTTTGTGTATCTCTAACTTTTAGATAGTGCCCATCTCTATTAATTAATTCCACATTCCAAAATCACAGAATTCTTAGACAACATACTCAAAAGAAACAGCCTCATTTCTACAATCATTTATAGAAACAAATTGAAAGACTGCAATGACCAAGTCGCAATCCATGGGGGAGATGAAGGGTGAGGCCAATTGAACAAATAAATGCTGAAATGCTTGTCATCGCAAGCCAAATGATGGCACAATGAGAACATCTTCATTTGGACCCAAGTTTTGCAAGCAACGACAGAGCTAGCTAAGGCATAAGTGGGCTCTTATTACTATGGTGATGTATGAGTAAGATAATTTCTACCTTTTCAACAAATTTAATACATATGGAGGAAACCAAAGAACCAGTTATCTAAATAGAGGCACAAATTATGTATGAGTAAGATAATTTCTACCTTTTCAACAAATTTAATACATATGGAGGAAACCAAAGAACCAGTTATCTAAATAGAGGCACAAATTAAGTAGCCATGTACTACTGTTTGAGGGGGGATTTGACTGACAAAATATATAAACAGTTGAAATTCAGTCCTGTTTTTCGGCTCACAACAAAGAAATTCAGATGGATTCAATGCGCATTTCTTCCATGCAGCATAGTCCATCATTGGCAGGGGCATCATCCTTGCCAATAGAGATTTCTTCACACATGAGAAACTATTAGGAGAACACAATTCTTCTAATATTGCTCTTGTGCCTTAAGTTTCGAATCCCAATTCACTTTAGGCCTAGATCATATTGCAACACTATATACAAGTGAATTGCTAAACTCATTGCAAATAAAATCAAAACTGATCTACCACACATTATTGAACCCACTCAATGTGCATTTGTTTATGGAAGAAACATTAGGGACTGTATTATTAGCACATGAACTCTTGCATGGTTACTTATAAGAGGCAGAAACTTCTGGGATATCAACATACTCCAGTTTGAATGAACTTTTCGTCGGTTTGCCATGGTAAATTTCTCTTCCTCAATTAAAAACACTTTATAACTTTTTAAAAATTCTTTCATTTTTTTTTTTTTTTTCCTTTTTTTATTTCTCTTCCTCAATTAAAAACACTTTATAACTTTTTAAAAATTCTTTCATTTTTTTTTTTTTTTTCCTTTTTTTACTTCTACTTTCTATTTCTCTTTTTTTTTTTTAACGTACATATTTCTTTTTCTATATTTTATATTTGTTATATTTTATATATATATATATATATATAGTGTATCTTGTTCCTGACTTGAAATTCAGACTGCATCCTTGAGTATTGTATTTAAAAAATTTTAACCGTTGATCATTCATCAAATAAGTCCCACCACCAAGTCCAACGACTGAAAAACCCAAGATATGAGATATTTTAAAATTTGTATGTTGACCCGCCTTTCAATATTGAAGTTATTTCTATTGTATTTGAAATATAATCATATATATATATGTGTGTGTGTGTGTGTGTGTATTTTGGAACAGTCAAAGCAGACAATTCGAGTGGGTACATTGTACAAGACCAATTCGACGGTGTTAATAATTAATTAGTCAAACCCGAGGCTTCTAAAATACTGTAAATCAAGACCAAGAAGCAAATCAAAGGCTAGGCTTTGAAATAAGTTTGGATAACAACAATAACAATAATATGTTATTACAGGTCCTCCTAAAGCAGCACCAACATAGTCTAGAACTGACTCAGGGGAGTTTGTGCATACCATGTCCATCCACAGAAACAAGGCATCAATTCCCTGTTCTGGTTATATGTGTTTGTGCACGCGCGTGCGTGTGTATCTTCTTTAACATTCACAGAATTCTTAGATAACATGGTCAAAAAGAAATGGTCTGCTCATTTCTGCAAGCATTTATAGAAAAAGTAATGATAATCATACCGAAGAATTTGAACGAAATAGATAGCGAGAACACTCCCCATTCAATGAATACACTTACATGAATGACTGGTTGAGTGTATCTAACAGATGGGGAGCCTTCATTTCTCCATTTGGTTGAAACTTTTCGGCTTTAAAATTAAAATCATTATGCATATATTAAGCAGCCATGTGTCGTATGGACGAGATTTAAGCTCCCAACTGATACAGAGACTTGAATCAAATAGTGGCAAGTGTGTAGAGCACAGACGCATGTTACTCAATGCTAATCAAAATGTAAACTACGTATGCTTGTGACCATCAGCTCAACAAAAGAAATCCCATAGGCTACAACTGATACAACATGACCAGACCAAAAAGGCCAACCAAGCCAAATGAATTTACGAAAATGTACATATATATATATAAATGTATAGAATCCATAACTCATGGTATATAGGCAAATATATAATGCCTAAAACAATTGTGTCATAAGTATAACAAGCAAATGAAGAGAAGTGATAAACAGTAATGACGACAAGTTGAACAAATGTCCACTCTCAGACACATCAATTGCAGAAAACACTTCCATGGCATTTAGGAGTGGCGCCAAAGTCGAGCCCTCTGCCGGAGAAATAGTCACATTGGCTGAACCATTGACCGGCACCGAAAACAGCGTTACCACATGGAATTGATTTCCAAATAAAGAGTTATAATTAGGGATATCCGTAACAGCCCTTTCGTTGCTGTCTATGTAGATTTCGACACTGCTAGTTTGATTTTGTGGCACCCTAAAAACAGGGTCCATGAAGTAGAGAACAAAGTAGGCTTGTACCGATGTTCGAGGGGAAAAATCAATGGACAAATATATAGAGTCTGTTAGATTTCTTGCTTGGATCGCAAATCCCATTACTGGAAATGGTGGCCTATTTTCTCCGATCATATAATCAAAACGCATAGAGTCTGCATGAATGTTGCGATAATTGGACATTTCTTTGGACTTCCAAATCCGGTAATATGGTTCTGCGTCGTAATTCATTCTTTGCCTGTAAATTTCCTAGTTAATTACCATTCCTATGGGATAAAATTAGAAGTCGAATTTACTTACTCAATGCTTGTATTTGCGCCGTAGTTGATCCTGCTATGAAGATACAAAGCTGTGGTGTTGTCCATCCAATCGTAAGCAACATCAATGTTATAAGCTTCAAGAGAAGAAATGAAGGGAACGTCAATATTGTCCATGGTACGAATCAAGCACACCCGAGCTTGCGCCTTCTTCGTAATGTAAAGCAGTTCATGGTAGATCATCTCTTCGCTCATTGAAGTGGTTACATCTGCCCATGAGGTCCCATCTATCTCTAGACGAAAGCTAGGTGGCTTCGAGAGCCCATCGTAGTTGCCATAGTAAAAGCCAGCTCGAAACAGGAACTTGTAATCTGCGCGGTAAAAGGGTAACGTATAACAGCTCTTTTGGCCTTTGGGAAAGGAGCGTAGGGTATTCATCTGAAAGTCAGTGTGGCTGGTGGGGAGGAGTTTGTTCTCTCCAGTTTGGATGAACTTTTCGTCCGTCCGCCATGGTACGTCGCTGTTATATTTACCGGGTGCAGGAGTTTCAGTGGATGCTCCACAGTCTATGCGCAAGTTGTAGAAGCCATCTCCTGTGGTCATAAACAGATATATATATGTATATATAGATATGATTATGTTTTTGAGATGCTTAATTTGATAAACATGATAATTGCAATTTGTAAGTTCACGTGACATGAACAATTCTAGTGGTTGAGCCTTACTTTCATATGAAGAAGCATTTACTGCATAAAACACCAGCTGCAGCACCAACATTGTTTTCCATCGATCCATGGACACAGAGAGAGAGAGAGAGAAGTTGGAGGTGTGATGGACCAATTAGCCCATGGAACTACGTATACCCGTAAAAACAACGGTGTCACCATAGACTTTTCATGCTACATGTTAAAGTGGGCCCATGTCATATTACTTTAGATTTATTATATTGGCCGCCGGCCTTTGAATGTTGAAGTCACTTCTAACGTATTTGAAATACAATCATATAATATATACAAATATAGATGCGTGCAGTTTGGAACAATCAAAGCAGACAATTCAAGTGGGTACAAGACCTTGACTAATATGAAAGAAGCAAATCAAAGGCTAGGCTTTGAAATAAACTTTAGAGTGAAAGCGAATTAACGAAGAAAGTTCTATGCTTTTTTACAAACATCATGACTATCTTAACATATTTTCTTACTGTTGTCATATTGTACAATGCAGTTTCAAATAGGTCCTCAGAAACATATAGTATATAATACAGAACCATCAAAACTTGGTTCCAAACTTTGACGAATTTTTGTTTGGAGCCATTTCTAACATTATTTTGACAGACTCACTCTCCGCGTAACATTTTGGACATTGAGCCTATGCTGAGTCAAGATTGCGCGTGCTCAAGACTAAACCTTTCAGTGCTGGCATTAAACTCTCCAGGAGCTCCCTTTTGCTCAAGGTTCTATCAGATGTACAGTCTTGTTCCTAATGAGAAAACAAAATTGTAAATTGCATCAATTAAATGAGCCACAGAAGACAGCAAACTCAATAGACATACGATTTCTCTTGTTTTAACATGCAACAATTGTCACAGCAAATTTAATATTACCAGCGCGTAATTCATCACAAAATAACACAATTCAGTTTTAACGTTTTTGGCTGACCCACATCTTTTGAAAAACAAAAGAAATTCTACCGATCAATTTCTCCATGCACAGAACACAAAAAATTTAAGCAAACATTTTTCCTTCTAGCCAGCAAATAACACATTGAGTAATAAAACCATCATGCGATGACAGATTAGTAAACAGTCATAAATCTAACAAAAAAGTTGCTAAGAAGTAAGAAATGCAATGAAATTAAACAAAATGCAGCATATCAACTCACGCCAGTTGCAGCAGAAATTAATCCTAAAAGGGTCACTGTTGCACTATGATAATCCAGTAAGATCTTATATGCTGAATCATCCAATTTATCCTGAAAATTCAAAGCACAAGTTTGAGAAACAAATCAGAAACAAAAACACCTTAAATGAAATAAAGGGTACAAAAACACTTTGTAATTAATATTACTCCCCCTCTCCCCCAACAGATACACTCAGATGCGAGCACAAACATACAGACAGCGTGTCAATTGTATATTCTTGCACCAAACATAATGACTGTGCAAGTGAATGATTGTTCTATGCTTTGTTTTCCAGCATTCAATAGAAACAAGAGGGATGCTAGCCTCAGTCGCGCAACACAGTTGCTAGATTAGAGATTGAAACGTGTATCATCTTTTCCCAACACGGACATATTCATCTATCTTAGACATCTCATTATTTGTAATTACTATTTTATCCTCCGATAATTTTAAAGTGACCACCATTTCACTCTCTTTCTACAAATATCTGTTAATTATGTGTTAAAAAAATATCTGTTATATTTCATATCTAGTAATTCTAATTTTTTTCCTGAATAAATCTACATTATCCACTTCTATCTCATAAATGAAAATTTCCTCTTGAGGAAGGTGATTACAAGCGTCAAACTCTCACATAGTGTTTCTTTTTTTTTTCCTCTGGCAATTTGATGCCAAAAGAGGTCTATCTAATCTACCACATCCAGTTAGTTCACAATTCATGCAAATTTCACTTGACAAAATAATTAACTAGCGTAAATACAATATGCATGCTAAGAAGCAATCACACATCATCTATGTGTAGAGAGGATATTAACAAGTGGTTTACTTAATTTTGAAATAAAAATATTTTAAAAAATCGTATTTTAATATAACATTTTTTTTATTTTCATAAATGAATTTGATATAATATTCTAATTTAATGATTGGAATATTGAAAAAAAAACTAAATATCCACTAATTTTTCAAAATTAATGATTAACTCTTCTATTTATAATTCATTTACCTGTAAATACCAAAATTTAATATTAAAAAAATTGCACGAAAAACAATAACAACAATTTAAACCAATATTCTCTTGTTCTTTGTTCTTTTGTGAATTTTGAAGAGAGTAAAAAGAGAGTGAAATGGGGGTTACTTTGGAATGATAGAGGATAAAACACCCAACATAATGAATGTGCTTGTTGGAAAAAGGAAATTACACGCATCAACTTCTAATCTAGCTGAGACTTGACCTGCCACAGTCGCGCTACTCGCATCCCTCTAGAAACAACTAAACCATATGCGTTCATATCCTAACATTTCTGCATAGCACATATCGAAATCATATATTTAAAGTGAATTTTGCAAACTTAAAAATAATTTGGGACACTGGCCAAGATCTCAGCTATAGTGGTTTCTTACCCCACAATTGCTAAAACATTTTCTTCTATATAAAATTGGACTGCAAATGAACTGAGCCAAGCCAAGTCGAGCAAAGCTTAAGTTTATTCAGGCTTGGCCCATTCATTGGTCGCCCAGCCCGGGCTCCGCTCGGGGTCATGACAAGCTCTGTGCTCGAGCTCGGCTCATCATTATTTTGAAAAAATCAAGCTCAGCTCATTTAATAACGAAAGTCGTTTAGGCTTTGATTTGAGCTCGTGTTCAAGATCATTCTGGCCTGTTCATGAACTTGTAACAGCCTACACAAGCCTATGTTCATGAACTTATACAAGCCTATGTTTATGAACGTCATCATGAGCCCTACACAAGCCCTATACGAGCCTACGCGAGCTTATGTTCATGAGCCGGGCCCAATATTGTTCAGAATCAGCTTGTTTATTAAACAAGCCTAGAAATCGAGCTTGAGCTTGAGCTAGGCTCGTTTGCTTAACAAACAAACCCAAGCCGAGCCTTAAATGAGCAGAGCCCGATATGTTCATGAACATCTTGGTTCATTTGCAGCCCTACCTATTGCAATTGATAAGAAACCAAATAATCGGCAATATTTGTTGGCCAAGGTTGAAATGCCCAATATCTAAGCACTTAGATGCCATGCACTACATTTCCATTAGTGATCTGTCATACATTGCAGATATCCTGAAATCAGATAGACTGTCCTAACAGAAGATATAAACTGTCTTTATATCCCGCCTAAGATATAGGAACTTTTTAAATCATTAGAGATTAGGAGAGTGGTAAAACATAACTGTGCAACAGATGCACATCCATCTGTCAATTATGCAGAAGTCATAGTTTTCATCAATCAAAGGGTACTCTAATCTAATACCACGTGTTTAATCAATTTGCTGAATCACTAAGTGTTTAATCATTTCATTTTTACTCATGCACACACCAGCATAACCCCACAACCACCAATAATGTTGGGGCACAGCAGAAGCAAAAATAAAAAGCATCAAAGAAGATTAATTTACAAACCACAACACGAGATATATGTGGTTCACCTTAACTCTTGCCTACATCCACAGATGAGGAGATATTCCGCTATATTGATGTAGAGATATACAACGGAAGAAAATAATGAAAATCAGACTGTGTATACAAACTCTTACCCTAGAGTTCTTTTATGTGTACTCCTGCTCCAATGATCTCTATACTACTCTAATAAACTCCCACTACCTGTCAACTACCTCATGAGGCTTCCCTCCACAATATACATCTCTCTCCACTCATATCTCTCAACAATACCCTAGGTATCTATTTATAAAGTCCCACACCCAATTCCTTGGAGGACAAGACTACAATTTCTTAGTAGCCAAGACTTGCCAAACAAAAAATTCCTTAGATCTAGAACTTCCCACATAAATTCTGACTCGGAAATGGAAACCTAATTATAATAGAATTTGAGACACAAATCCTAACAAATAACAACAAACCTTTGAGCCACATCTAGGGATACAACTTGGCTTGGGCAACCCGAGCCCACCCGATTTTTTGTAGGCTTGGACAATTATTTTTACAAATAGGGTTGGGCATGGGTTGAAAAATCTCAACCCGAATTTAATTAGGGTTGAGGTACTAGTAACCCGAGCAAACCCGAACCCGAATTCTAATATTATTTTCATATATATTTTTAACTTTAAATGCATTATATATAATATTTAAACTACGATTACTTTTTTTCTTTTCAACTTCATTTGTTAAATCTTAACTTATTGTATGTTAACATTTAAGACAATTAATTTTCTAAAAATTTGTTTGTTATTTATTCAAAATTTATAAAATGTCTTTAAACTTTTTTTTTTTTTTTTTTTAAAGAGTAATTTAATCTAAAACTAATTCAAGATCATGTTAAATTTTTGGTGTGAAGATTAGCTATATGAGTAACTCGAATTCACCCCAATTTTTAACATGGAATCTAAACCCGAGTTGTAAGCCCGAATTTAATAGTAGAAGGATGGGTTGGGCTCGGGTTGAGTAGTTAGGGTTAAAGATAGGGTTGGGTTGGGCTTGGGTTTAACATTTCATATGGTGGGTTGGGCTCAAGTTATACCTCAAACCCGCCCGAGTTGCAGCCCTGGCCCACATCCTTCCTTGTCATCTAGAACTCTTCAGTTTATGTTTTAAGGATCATTTGGCATTCACTGCCATCATAACATAAACGCAGTTCAGCAATAGAAAAACAAAATCTCAAAGACATCAAACTCTCTCTCTCTCTCTCTCTCTCTCTCTCTCTCTCTCTCTTACTACCTAATCAATAACAAATTTATCTTCAAGGTGGATATTTAAACCATCCAGGTCTCTTTGCTTCTTTACCAAGTTATTGTGGCATAATGACATTTTCTAAATACATGTTTCAATCATATCTTTCCTACTTTTTCCAGCTATTTATAGCATACCAGTAACTTCATATTGCCTTTTCAACTCATATTTATTGAAAAAGGAAAGACGAGAAAGCTTATGTTCCCAGGCAATATACAAAAAAATCTCACATAAAAAACAGGGTATCAATGAAATCCACAAAAGTGCATAACACCTTAAACCCACCAAGGACTACAAAAGAAAAAATTCCTAAACTAGAGAAACTTCAACATAATAAATTAACAATTGGGACCACCTAAACTCATTTGCTGAATTTCCCACATCGGAGCCTCTGATACTTTGTCCAATTTCTAACATCTCCATCCTTCTCAATTCTCACATATTGGAAAGAACTGTCAACATCACCAACATTTTCACGATGTTGTGATAAAAAATCAAGCCAAAACCAGCTACTCCTATCCAAATTCGCAATTTTAAACTTCCAGGTATAAACCTTTCTTTCATCCTTACAATGACTTCTCCCAGAGATTTTTCATTAAAATAGGTTATTCAATAAAAGGCATGAGGGATTTAGGAAAAATAAATAAATAACGCATAAGGGGGCGCAAAGTACTCGGCTCTACCTTGGGCTCACACACCTCGGTTCCAAGTCCATGTGGATAATAATCACTAGAAGTCTCACCATATATATCAATAGCATTATGCAAAAGAATAACAAACAAAATTCTTCTCCCACCATGTATGCTTACAAGAAACCTCACTGCCTATCGATTAAGCTTCAATGCCAAACAAGTATCAATGTTTTCCAACTTGTAGTCAAATCCTTGCACTTCTTTTTATCGGCTAAACATGTACATCTGGGCCAAATACCACTTGCTACTCATGAAATTGTTTAACATTTGCCTCCAATATCCAAACTAAGAGAGAATTTTGGGGCAAAGCTAAACTATTAAGATCTTTGAGTTGGCAAGATTAATCCAGGTGCAGTAATTAGAATATACACTCCAAATCTCTTTTTTTCTTGGATAAATAGAAAATTCAGTCCATACCTTCAATCGAGAAACAGCAGCAGAAATGGCCCTCCCTGGGGCTTGAAGAGCTTTATTGTAAACCTATGAGTCAAAAGAAAATGTTTAAAAGAATACAAAAGGGGACAGGAATATGTCTGTCCGTGCACAGGCAGTTCAAAATGACCAAAAGTTAAACTCAAAGTATAGCAAATTGCCTGACCTGTATATAAAGGAGAGAGACAACTTTTGGCAGAAGTAAAACTGGGTCGGTTTCATCAGAAACTTGAGATGTCAAATCCTAAAATTCAAATCTATCTGGTAAGAATCATAAGAAATCATGAAATTTATCTTTGCACAATTTCTATTGGTGAAAGCAATCATACCTTGCGATACGAATGAAGAAGAGGTCTTTCTAATTTCTTATCAAGTTTTTTTAAAGTTAACCCACTGCAGATATGCCAAAACCAACAATACATATTCTTAGTGCCATGATGATACAACACCATAACAAAGTGGACATACAATTAATTACGAGTCTTCCTCACCTTTCCTCGGCTATTACTCTTAGTGCGGTCATGAATGTTTCGACCCGCTGTCATAGACAACATTAACTTTTAAAGTCAGTGCAACAACGTCATCAAAGAAAATAAAAGGCATTGTTAGAGAAGTGTTCCTGATAAATGAAAATATCTCCCACAGGAGGTAAAATGTAGTTGGATTACTAAGTTATGGTTGTGAAAACTGATAAAGAAGCCAAAAGTTATTTAAATTTAGACAAAAACTTTCACGCCTGTTAAAAAATAATATATTTGATAGAAAACTGCAATTCATACAAACTTTTTAGTTTGTCGAGGAGTAAAAGTTTTTTCAGTTTACTTAGGGGGGAAAAAAAGCTTTTTAGTTTAGTGGAAAAAAAATGAAAGACATCAAGAATATATAGAAGAGTAGAAAGACACCACAAAGATGAACAAAATTAGATTAAAAATCTTCTAGGTTCAGGACTAATGAAAATGTTGGTTCAGTTGCATCTTATAACTCCAGTTTTTCTTTTTCTTTTTCTTTTTGTAAAGTATAATACTAATAAATTATATACAGTACAAAGAAATGCAAAACCATGCAATTGTAGAGTTGAAAATAATGTTTTTGAGACAATAAATTTCAGCATATCCTAGGAAAACGCACTAACCTTCCCTTCCAAAGCTTCAATTATAGCAACAGCCTTAACTGAAAGAGGGCCGGGAAAACTCTTTGCCTGTGAAAACCAAAGATGAAAAAATTACCCTTCAAATCAGTTGCCGAAGTTATAAGGCTACATTAGACAGAAAAATACTCCATACAAGAGCAATTCTTTCTCCAGAATTGAGTGATACAGATTCAGGATTTTGAGATTCCTCAACTTCAATTCCATTCTTTAACTTGTTGTGCACATCCTGCAATGGAAGAAACAATAGATTAGGTCATCATGAAGTTTATTCCATCAAGACTTCTGAAACAGCCAAAGAGGTCAACCACGAAGGGAATAGCGCATAGGTTTACCAAGTTAAGTAAGAGAGTGTCCACCATAGGGGTTGCTGCGGCTCTTAATAAATGTTTGTGTAGAGTAACCTGTGAATCATGCAGCAACTATTTTTACTTATTTGCATCATCAATAACAACTTAATAAACTATCAAAGGAAAATGATCAAAAAACTTACAGAGTTTGGTTGGTCATCTTCAAACAAATCTAGTGCTTTTTCATATAGCTGCATATTTAAGAAAGACTGAAAGCAGCAAATATTAGAAAGCCATAAAAAGTCAGTTTAGATTACAACAACCAGCTTGTGGTTTAAAGGAATAACCATGACACAAGAAAAAAAAAAAATATATATATATATATATATATATATATATATATATATATAAAATAAAAATAAAAATAAATAAATAAATAAAAATGTAAAAGGAAAAAGAAGGAACGTAATGCCATGTCACTACATAACCTCAAGAAAATTGAAAAAAGATAATCTGAAGGCCAGTACATTAGTGTATATAAAATGAGGTATATGCACTTTCCAGAGGGCAAAAGAAAATGTATGTAGACCAAAAACAGGAACACTTGAATTGAGCTCACCTCATCAAGCTTTTTTTGCAAATTATCAAGTATGCGTTTCATCTTCTGTCCATTTTCTGCGAATGTCACCTTTCTTCTCTCCTTCAATGAATTGAGCAGCGCTGGCCTCAAATGATTTGCTAAAGGTTTAAGGACTGTCTCAGGATCATCTATACCTACAAAAATTAAACCACTGTGTCTGTCAAAATCAGGTATAAAGTGCACAACTAGCTGAGGTAATAAGAAAGAACAATTACATTCACATCAATGCACCTTGTTCTTCAAAATCAGGGACCAGCATCGTGATCTTCTGAATTAGCCATTCCTCTGAAGGGATGCTAAGGGTGTCCTCTTTCATCTTAATTGATTCTTTCTTAGCACCTGATTTTGAATCAACCACTTGCGAGGAAGATGCATCCTTGCCTTTTCTCTGGTTTTTCTTAGATTTAGTAGGTATAGGTTCCTGATTATCTGGACTAGTTTCAGCTGTCCCTGACTTCGTATTCACCGAGGATTTTCCCTTTTTCTTCTTTGATCCTTTCTCTGATGCTTGTTTATTAGTACCACTCTCAGTAGCAGTTTCATTTGATTCAGCTAGATTGCTGCTTGAATCGCCACACATTTTGTTACTGGAAAACACAGAAAGGCTAAGGGTTTCCATCTCCTTCTCCATGCGGTCAAACAAATCCTGTCCAATTAAGTTACAAAAAACATTTGCAAGAATCAGAATTTAAACAAGAAAAATATAAAATTAAAATAAACCATGCTTTTGGTAGTACTATATAGTGCGTCCACAATGGCCAAAAATTTTTTTTGAGAGAATATAGCAAATAGGGAGTCCAAATAATTTCCCACCAGCATCAATTCTTTTCTATATCAAGTTAATAGAGAAAATGAGTAGGTATGGATTCAGGTCTTTGACATGCTGGTGCAATGAGAAAACAACACCCAGGGGGTGAGTTTGGTTAGACAGAAGTAGCTTGAAAAGAAAAGAAATGGAAAAGATATAAAATTCTTATGAGCTTGGATAGGATGAAAAAAGAAAATTTTCAGGAAAATTAGATTCTTGCGATTAGCTGATTTTCTCGGAAACGTTTCTTCCATAAAACACGTGAAATTTTTTATTTCCCGTGAAAGTTGTGTGTTTATATTTTAAGTTCCTATTATATCCCTCATATATATGTTTATATTACCTTCAACCTCCGCAATTATACATTATCTAATTATCATTCACTGCAAATCACTTAAACAAGGTTAATTAACAAAAGAGTAAACTTTTATCAAACTGGCACCTACTATGATAAACTAAAAAAAAACATTATACATAGATATGTGTGTGTGTGTGTATACATACATACATACATACATATATATATATATATATATATATTGATATATAATCTCCGATACCTTGCTTATAACACTTTAGTAATTGTCTTTGTTTGTTTAAAATCGTAAATTAAGTTTGAAATCACAAATTCACAAGGGTGGTTTTGGTAAGTACAATCACTTTCTTTTCAATTTCATGCTATCCAAACTAACAAAAAAAAATTCCCACAACTTTCTTGAAAATTTTCCTGCTAACCAAATTGATGATGGAAACTAATTTTCCTTTCCTTCACTTCAATTTCTTTCACTTTCACTGTCCATTATTAATTTCTGTTAACCAAATGGACCTCAAAGCAAACATGAATTCTAGAAAATAGAGAAAACAAGAGGCCTTAAAAGCTAAGAATACACCAGTCCCAGACCCTACCTTAAGTAGCCATGTAAATGGTATTAGAACACTAGTGGACCCCCAAGCTTAAGCTGTTAGCGGACGGGTCCGACAAATACATCTTGCATGTGGAAAGGCCTAAGACAGCAGGATAAACAGATGGAAACAGGAGAGTTGAGCAAAAAACTACCCAAAACCAACGCTTTGATACCGTGTGAGGGCTCAGAACATCACTTGCCCCAAAAGCTTAAATTGTTAAGGAATATAGATCTTTTTGAAGAAAAAATAAGCCACAAATACTTTTGCTAGATTGTAGTAACCACTGAAGCTGATAGCTTCCGTAAGAACAGGGTAAGAGCATCTCCTTTTCAATGCTATATTGCATGCTATTTCTAAAATATAGCAAGTAGGCTTGAAAAGGAGCTCTCCAATGCAAAGCTATAATGTCTGCCAAATTTTAACTTTGTCAAAATTGATGCCAATTGTAGCACAAGAAATAGCAGTAGCTCTTTCAGAGAGAGAGAGAGAGAGAGAGAGAGGGTTTCAGATCTCTATATATATATATATATATATATATATATATATATATATATATATATTTTAAAAAGATCATAAAAAATTTCACCAAATAGGATTTAGTTTGCAAAACAAGAATTAAAGACCTTGATTACAGAAAAAAAAATAGAATTACAGACCTTGATCATAAAATAGAATTATGGAAAAAAAATTAAAACAAAACTCATACATTCAAGTTAGCAGTTGCAGAGAGAGAGGGGGGCAAGCTTGAGAGTTGAGAGACAGCGGCTGAAGCTTGCGAAGGGCGAACCCGAGCTGGAACAGCAGGCAATGGAAACTGAAAGATATGGGTTTTGATTTTTTGAACAATCTGAAATGATATGGCCGAGAGAGGGGGGCAAGTTCAGTGAGAACGAGAATAGAGATGGAGGCGATTGGGGAGGCTGAAATGATTTGCCCTAAATATATACTATATTTTTTCCTGGGTCATGGGCCTATAAATTATATAGTTAATTATATGGGTCATGGGCCTCTCTTTTTTCCCTTTTTTTTTTTTTTTTTTTTTTTTTTGGGTCCATTTTTTACCAGATATTTTAGATTTTTGCTTCTTTTTAATTAGGTTTAATTTCAGTTTCCTTCTAATGTCTACAACTTCACTTGGAATGTGCCTAATATTAATATTACTGATGCAAATATAAATGGTGGGAATGGTAGTTGAAAAATAATGGTGGTTGTGTTAAAAATTAGCATTTTGCATGAAATGCACCATCGGAGCAGAATTGATAAAATGTAGCATTTTGACACTGTAGCACCTGTCAAAATATAGAGTTGGCATGTGAAAATGACTTTTAGCATTGGAGATGGTCTAATATACAAAAAGTGGTTGACTTTTGTGCAGAAACTTTAGCTTCCACATGTATAACATAAATAATAATGGTAGTATAGAACTATTGACGCACGACAAGTAGTGTTTTAGACTGAAAGAGGTAGGATAGAGAGACTGAGGGATTAAGACCAGCAAGAACAAGAAGGGAGAAGGACATAAAGGGAGTTCGCAAACTCAACGATAATATTCAATTTCTCAAAAAACTGATTTGTCTAATTACATTTGAGCCTTTATACAGGCAAAACATAAACAAACCCTAAAACAATAAATTACTAAAATACCCTAAAATTAAAACATTATTAAAAATAACCAGAATCATAAATAAAAACCCTAATTTACTAATATCCCTAATTCTATCTTTCTTTTCCCCTTCCCCTTCTCCAATGATAAGTGTGGATCATATGTGATTCTAGCTCTTGAGTTGCGCCTTGTTCTCCATCAATTCTCCTCCGCTTAGAAAAACTCTTCTCCAAAGAGTTAGAACAAAAGTACCAACCCCAAATAATGCATCCAGTAATGCGTTTAGAATTGCTTGGCTCACTAAGGGCAACATGATTAAGTGTTTTCTCTTCAACCAAATCAAAGCTGAATTCAATTCCACGTTCTGCAACTTTATTCCCAACAACAAAATCTATAGGATGAGCATCTGTAACAAAAGATAAAGTTGTCAGAGAAGACAACTCTATCACGCTTTCTTCAAATTCTTCATATATCGTAAGAGATGATAATTGTGTAATCTTTTGTTCAATTTCTTCATTTGAAGATGCTAAATGAATATGGCTCTCAAGAGGGGAAAAATCAGTCACTTTTTGCTCAGTTTCTTCATTTGAAAACTCACCAGGCGTTTTCTGCTCAGTTTCTTCATTTGAAAACTCACCAGGCGTTTTGTTGTCTTCAACCAATAATGCAATCAATTCATTTCCAGTAGAAATTTCTTCCCTTGAAGAGGTGTTACTCAGCTCACATTGCTCAACAAATTGAACTAATTCTGAAAGCTCATTAGCTATTTCATTCAATTGGGAACCATAACCCATGCAATTGGTCCACAGATTCCTTTAAATCAGCCACACTCCTGCCAATTCTGTCAAATCTTTGTTTTGTCTTTTGAAACTTTTGTTCTAATACAGGGTAGGAATTGTAAGAATGATATGCATCAAATGACTGGTAGGAATAGTAAGAATCATATGCATGGTCCTAAGAGGGAGGACATGAGACAACCCAACCTTACTATTTCACAAAGTGGCTGCTCTGAGCCTCAAATAGTGTCAGTGGCATCAATGCTCAAGCATGTTGCTGTTGAACAAGGCAACAACTCTCATCCAAAAAAAGATCAATACATACATATATACATGCACAGGAAATAATAGATATGCGTATCATGGAAAGGGCATAAAAGAAATAGTTGATTACTAAATTAACAACTAAATTAGAATGATTACTTGTACTAGGTAGATTAAGGGCCCACCTTGATAAAGCCATTGCTAAAAATATATGACTCCCCCAAAATGAGAGCTTTACTACCCTGAAAGCAAAACAATAAAGTAAATAAAAATTTCATCATAATAAATCATAAGCAAATAGCGACAGGGTAGCCAAATGTCACCTTAAGGGCCACCTGAACAGATTGACAAAGTGACAGAATTTTAGATGCATCCTGGGATCCAAAGGATGTGGGTAAAACCGTAAGTGAATCAATCCTGCAATAGTCCAACCAATTATGTTAGAAAAGAGCATTCTGACAATGTTTTGACAAAACTGTAATATGAAAAGCGCAAAAGACAAAATTTTAAGCATTCAAGGAATACTTCACAACAACATATTTATATGAGAAACCAGTGTTCTAAAAGCACCACAAAACAGAGAACATAGAAACAGAAATAGTTGTACTGCAAAAGACATTGTTAAGAAGCAATGTGACAGCACATGATGGGACCTCCACTGGCCATAATCCAAAAATATTATTCATAGAGGCTTCTCTCATCATCATCGTCACACATTGAAATGGCAAAGTTTTTTTGAATCAAACCGCCTTGGGAAGGATCTCAAAATGGTGCAAGGTCATCACATATCAAAATCTGACAGCCCTCTTTCATTCATTCAAGCAATAACATCCAATTTCCTGAAATTCATATATAAAATGATTGTGTGGCAACTAGCAAGCCAAGAATTGGCAAAATTATAGATTAGCATATTCCTAGTAAGGTAAGAGCTGAGGCCATTTAAGGGACAAGATGAGAGAACGATTAAAAATGGTTTAGTAATGTAGCGCAAAAACAAGAAACCGCATAAGCAAGAAAGACACTGTCTAAATTGAGAATATAATTTGATCATATTGTGGCCCCAGATGAAGCAGCATGGTGAAACAAGTTTCACGTAACCCATCATATACAGGGGACAAACCTTCCTTCCAGCCCTGCAGAGTATTGATCCTACCAAAACCCAGCCCACTTAGTCCCCCCTCATCGTCATGCCTTCCTCTAAGCTTTGACCCAAAGGTCCCTTACCTTAAGAAATCCCTCCAGTTCTAGACCTTCTCTACCGGCCATCAACTCATCAACGTGAACACATTGTCTTTTGAACCAACAGCCAGTCCATCTACTCCTCTTGAGCAATACCCCGAAGGCCTGGATCATCATCATCATCCTCGCCTTTTTCCAAAATGAATAGGGTCGGCCACATAGATTCTCTTTCTCCATTCTGTTCTATTTTATTATTTCTCCCCTAAGATTTAATGTTTTAAAATCATTTTTAATTTAATTCCATGTTAGTTTTGGCCGTCGTCACTCTCTCTTACCGTCTATGCAAACTACTCTTCTTTCTAACAGGAGCATCAACGTTCTATGTGCCCATACCACCTAAGTCTATTTTCTCTTCTTTTGTCACTAATACGCGCTATTCCTAGAGTCTCCCTCATATTTTTCCTAATCACTCCTATCATCCACCTCAACATCCTCATTGCAATTATGTGAATGCGTTGTTGTTGTTTCGTTTTTAACACCCAACACTCTGCCCCATATAATATAGCTGGCCTTGTGACTGTCCTATAAAATTTTCCTTCTAACCTGTTTGTTTTGTTTTTTTTTTTTTTATCACATAGAATACCACTAGCTTGTCTCCATTTAGTCCAACCTACTCCAATCCTACTAGTAATATCATCATCTATATCCGCATTTTACTGAGCCTAAGTATCAAAAATGGTGATTTTTAGTGACCATGTGATCTTGGATTGCTAATGCTATATTATTGCTTTCCGATACTTTATTAAATTTACATTCCCTATATATTCTGTTTGAGTCTTACTAATTTTTAAACTTTTGCTTCTAGTGCATTCCAAGTTTTTAATTTGATACTCAAGTCTTCCTTAGAAGTATCCACCAACAGTATGCCATCTACAAACAACATGCAACATGGGATGTCTTTTTGTATATCTTTCGTTATTTCATCTAAGACGAGTGTAAATAGGTATGGGCTAAGTACCATGGGTATAAATTTACATCCCAAGGGCCTGGATCAACCTTCCTTATTACACTTTGTATCGAGATCTTTATAACCCATCCCACAAGGCCTAGATCTAGGACCTGTCATTCTGCTATTAGGTCCAGCTCTAGGCTCAGGTCCCATATAATAATCCTTTCACACTAACCATCAAATCCTCAGGTGCTATATGCCGTTAAAAATTATCAACATTCAAAACTATACTGTTAATGGGTGGATAACTGATTAGAGTGCGGATAGAGTCTGGCGACCACATTCCGTGTGTCACCCGGCCCTTGTTCAGTTTCGGGTGTTCACTCATAAATACCTTCTCTTAACCCATTTTTTTAAATTTTATGTCAGAATCCTCTGAATGAGGAAGCAGGGATAATGCTGCAACCCCTTACAAGTTGGAAAGTTGCTTCATGTCTAACAGCAGTAACATTTTGAAATACTTTTCTGTTATATGAACTTAACGGCTGCATTTAAGCTATTTCAACGAGTTTTCAAAAATATCCGAAAGAATACTTCAAGGAAGAATGAAGAAATGGCACATATACCATAAGTAGTAGAGCACCTACAACATCCCCGATACTGTGACGTTCTAGGTAATAGTTATGTTCACATCTTACCGGCAGTACAGAATCACTAGGATAACATTTGGTTGCATTGACAAAACAATTATAGGGTAGAATCAGAAATAGCAAAAAGAGAACAATCCTTGCTAAATTCGGGTCCTTACCAGCTACCATGTTCTATAGCATCCTCAGTAGCAGCATCCAACATCTCAATCATTGATGGGTGAACAAATAAAGTGACTAGAGGTATGCCTTCAGGATATCTGGACTAAAATTGGAGTGCATGATAACAATACTGATTAGATAAAAGCTAAAGAAGCATCCATAATCACATGGAATTTAGAGTTTTGATAACCATAAAAATAAAATCCAGAGACATTTGTAACGGAAGAACAGCATTAAGACACCTGAAGGTACTGCATAGGCTGTGGAATACCAAGTTTGTGCAGAACTTCATAACTGATAAAAGAATTCTGCAATTTGAAACAATATCACAAGGAATTAGGAACTAACAGATCTCCAAAAATTTCTTTAAAACACAAAACATAACAAGATTACGTACACAATAAAACCACAATTGTGCTTCAAGCACTTGATTCTTCAATTGTGCCAATTTAAAAGCAAATACATCCCATCGTTGGAACGAAGGTTGAAGATGGCTAATATGCTGCGATTAAAATAAACACAAAATACATCCAGAGTTTCGCTGACTTTTAATTCTATATCTTCTCTCTCATTATTTACTTATTTTTAACTAAGCTCCTCTTGCCACTTCAGCTCACTCACATGTATATCTCCCAATGCTTTTTAAATCCAAAGCATGTCAATATATGAAAGAATGAAGTGATTACATAATAATAGCCAAAAAAAGGTTGGAACTATGGTCGCATATAACTCCCAACTCACCCCCAAAAATAAATAAATATAATTATAAACAGAAGTACAAGAGTGCTAGTGTAGTATACAGGAATGATTAGCCTATACTCAATCTCCCAAAGAACCTAAAAAAGAAAAGCAGAATCTGGTAAACTGCCAAACATCCAAAAATGAGAAGTATCAAACATTTTACTTCTTCAACCTATTTATTACATCTTCGTATACATAAAAGATCACCTATTACAGTCCCACCACATGCTCCACATGAAACACAAAGGAGAAGATGCTTGCTCGAAATTTTGGCCACACAACCAATATCCCCCACCTGAGAATGTAATTACTCTAAAAAATATAGCATCAACTCTGCAACAAAACCACTCATGCCTGGAAATGCAAGAGAAGCCATCAAAAAGTTGCTGAATATTGTAAATATTTTTGGCATTGGGATAGCTACTCCACCAATTTTGTTGAGATAAACTATATGTATTCTATCAATACTCATTCCTGCCAAATGTCTTTTCTCATTTTCAGTTTTTAATGATCCATTTGTCAGTTATTTGATTTCAAAAATCTGAAACAAAAAATTTTATTTTATCAATGAATACCAAATAGGATCTATTTTGACTAACTTAAAAATTAACACATTGTTTGTACATACTATCCCCTTTTATCAATTGGGTAAAGTTACAAACAAAATTAACACATTGTTTGTACACCAATAAAGAAAAAAGGATGCACCACAACTCATGTGCCATCTCACAATGACGTAGATGATTAATTGTCAATTCTGCCTTCTTACATGTGCAACACCAAACAGAGATCAGCTTCCTCTATTCGTGAAACTATCCAAGTCAGACTACCCTCCAAGACAGTCCGCACAGAAAGGAGGTTTTGGAAGCCACTTGACTTTCCAAATGCCTCTCCAGGATGATTTGGACCAGTCTTCTCCATGTAAACCCTTCGAGCCTATCTTTCGGTCTCCAACAATTTGCCAACAAGTTTTCCTCAATCAAAGGCAATACAAAGCTGTTGAAGGATTTAGATATTTAAGTTACACCCTCTCTAACAGAAGCTTTTTGGAGTAGATGGTTGTTAACATGGTATCAGAGCCAAAGGTCTCAAGTTCAAACCTCACTGTTACCCTAATTCAAATTGAAACCCCTGTTGGACAAAAACAAGGCCACACGTGAGGGGGTGCGTTGAAGGATTTAAATATTTCAGTTGCACCATCTCTAACTTAAGCTTATGAAGTAGATGGTTGTCAACAAGAAGCTCCAAGAACAACGTTTTCAATAGCACAGCAGAACCTCCCGTAACAACCATCACCCAATACAAAACCAATTTACTTGGAGAACTCAATCCACCCCTTTGTAATGCCCTTCAGAGGCCCTAACCAAGAGTTCATAACCTTCCTAGGCATCCGACTGTCCAACCCCCTACTGCCTGGCACCAAATTCACCCTCTACTACTTTCCAACACAAGGTCTCATATTCCACCACAATCATTTCCCAAGCCAAGCCTGATGGATTTGTTGCAACACTCTCACTCAACCATCTTGAATTTAAAGGCTCACATACAGTTTTTCAATTGTCAAGGTGGCATTAGACCTCCTCCCCATACCTTCCCTTTGAATGTTCTCCAAACTCAAAATGACATATTGAAACTGTGAATGTGGACATAAAGTACACAGGCAATCTCACGAGGGTACTCCTGGTAGGAGTAACCTTACCACCTTCTGATTAAGACTGCTTTTTCAAACATGCAAATAACCTGGAAATTCTTTCAACCACTAGATCACAAACCGACAGCATTTGGGAAAAACAAACATTATCCCATTAAAACTTCTATCACCTAGTCTTCTCAAAAGGATCTTTTTACCAATCTTTATCCATCTCTTGAATTAACCAAAGTTTCAAGGCATTAAATGTGGGTCCCCACAAAAGAATCTCCTATTATAGCTTCTCATATAAAAATATGATACCAGCATTTTTTCTTTTCTTCTTTTTCTTTTTTTGGGATACGTAAAAAAAATAATACCAGCATTGACCTCCTCCTCCCACTTAATTCATCCCATCAATGACAAATGCTACCTATCTGCTTAATTCTTCTGTTTTTGAACTGAGACTAAGAAAACCCAATATAAAAAAGTAAGGACCAATACCACAATTTAAACCGAATAGAGCCATGTACCCATACTACCACATATATCCATCAAACTTTGGAAATTATCAAAATACACTTTACTCCTAAAACTCAACAGAACATAAATTTAGCTAAATTATCAGCAAAGTCTATATTAAGTGATGAAACTAGTGTATAAACAAATGTGCTTAATATATAAATGACTTGAGTTGTTATTCTTTTGAACTACAAAGAGGTATTAACAAAGCCCAAGTTTAAACACACTATCCAAATTTCTAGTCAACCCACCAATAGAATTATATTTTACTAATGGTGATGTTTCTAGTTCTAGCCATGAACAGAGACTCAACAAAATGGACATCAGCAATTTACAAATTCAGAGCAAAGTGTAACATTGACTTAGTGAACAGCCAATAAACAGATTCAAATAGTCAATGGCATAATGAAGTTACAAGACTCGAATGCATAGTGAGGCACTTTTTTTTCTTTTTTCTTTTTTTTGTAAAGTTAAGAAAGATGCTGCAAACCTGTGAAAAGAAAGAATCTATAGCCTGTTTCTGAGCCATGGCAAAAACCTGTTGCACAATCATTCCCAATGTGAATCAATGCTTAACATTATAGAAATAAGAAAAACAACAAGAAGAATACTAAAAAACTGAAAGGGAACTAACTAGGAATCATGTTGCTTACAGCAGGTGTCCAATGAGTTCCTGCACGAAGTGATCCAAGAATTTCACCTTCCTTCACCAACCCATTGAATAGTGATTGGAAAAATGAACCTTCAACAGCCACACCACTAGCTCCATCCGTTTCCTGCAATAGTAGCTGCAACGAGCTCCACAATGCTGTTAAATTTGTAGGTACAGTAATACCCCGTGCGGCACCTCGAACCATTGCACCAACACGGCCAACATACGCAGGTGTGTACAATTGCCCACCTTCAAGCCTACCTTTCACCTAAACACACCACACAAGATAACAATATTCATCACCCATTACAACAACATCACATTAGAATTGTGAAAATTAAGTCGCCCATTAGAACTGTGAGAATTAGGTTACCAAAGTCCCGAGCCGAGGCTCTAACAAGGTCACGAGTAACTCTGAACCAACTTGCAATTGTGCAGCAAGCTCGGCCAATGCAATTTGGCTGCACTCTTGAAGCCTCTCGTTGATTTCCTCAGTGACAGTGTCCCAATAAGAATTCGATATCACTTCGCCGTTGATTAACATGAGCGAGGAATCATTGGATACTATGTGCTGAGATTGCTTCTCGACATGGTACAAATCCACACCAGTTGTGTCCGCGAGATCAATCAACGAAACACGCCCTAATTTATTGATCTCAGATAGAATATCAAGCCTCAATTGATCCTACCACAACCATATCATCACATACTTACTAAGGACAATATAATTGTTGACAAAAAAGAAGGAAATGTATATATTCATATATATATATATATATATATATATAAAAGAGAAATTGAGGGTATACAAGAGTGATGTATTCTTTGCCGGTGACGGTGTGAAGGAGATCGAAATCGATGATTTGAAGTTCATGGAGTTTTTGGACCAATTCGATGACGTTACGCTCGGATAATCGAATGCTTGATTTGGCTTGTTGAGCGAACTCGAATTGTCGCTGCAATTCCAGTAGTTCTTCATCCATGTTTTGAGTTTGCTTCGAAAATTGATACGTATGTGTTTGTATATATATTTATATACGTTTCGCACTTATATACAGACGAGATTGAGGGTTCTCAGTTCGAGACTTCGACCGGAGTCCGTTGCCAAGAAAGGGAAGCTTGGGGTATAAATTTTGCAGACATTCTTGAAGCTACATGCTATGGGCCTAGGGGAGCTTATATTGGGCCACATGAATAGGGCTCCAACTTGAGTGGTCTAGCATCTAGCCCAGCCCCATTTTCACGACCGGACAACTATTTTTACATATTAGTTTTCTTATTTTTTATTTTTATGGATAATGGTAATATTGAGTCTTCTATATTTTTATAGATAACGGTGATATTGGTGTTTTAGAGCACTTCATGATTCAACACGGTGAACATGCACTTCTTCTGTCTCATTGCAATAAGTAATTATGGAAAAAAAATCTCTAAAAGTTATACTAGGTGTTGACAACCCAAAGTTTAACATGATTTTTTATATATTTATAATTTTTTAATGTATTATAAATAGTTATAATCACAGATAAAATAATCCAATACATTCGACTTTAAGATGCTATATCATTTTCTTTTAACTATATACTCTAATCTCTCAGATATATCTCCAAGATATTGGCTTTGACATTAAAATTTATGCATTTCTGAGTAAGCTACTACTCAAGTGTATCCACCTTAAGCTTTATAACAGCATAGTGCATAGAGCATATTTGGATGATGCTATATATGCATTCCATCCAAAACATTGTTAATCATTCCTATATTGTAAAGTGCTTCTAGACATTGTATGCTGCTTTGAATGGAATGCATATAATAGCATCATCCAGACATTGTTATACTGCTTTGAACAATGTCTAGCCTGAATCAATGTGCTTATAGCTAGACATTGCTATAGTGCTTCTGCTGATAATCCTATTGTCCTCCTACTGATCTGTTGCTTGGTCAAACCTTTATTGACAATATCATTTCCCCATCATCAAACTTCAACTCATTTACGAGCATTAGTGATATCTCCTTTACGGCCCAAAGAAAAGACAGATCCAGAATTGCATAATGGGGTGGACTAGTACTACTAAAACTACTTCTTTTTTTTTTTTTTGGTTGGACTAAAATTACCTCTAGTAAAAATAAAAATAAAAAAATTGGTGGGCTCAACCCCAACCCTGGATCCGCCCTTGGCCCAAAGGAATGATGAAGGTAGTTCGATTCCGTAGAGACAAAAAAAAAAAAAAATCTTATATGGATACAACCTAGGCTTCCTAGCTGTCATTTTTATCTCCCATGTGTTTCAATATCACTATTGTCATACATTATCCAAAATTACAATCAACATTGAATTATGTCTTAATGTCTGATTTTCCTATTCCTGCTGTCAAAGTACCAATTTCTTTTGGTGGATACTGGATGGGTGATCTTATGTCAGCTCAGTGATGCTTAACAATGAGCAAGTACTCAAAACTTGAGATGCACAATTTCGCAGTAATTAATCAATCATCATTCTGTTTGAAAGTATCGAATCGGCATCTTGAATTTAGAATGGAAAAAAAAAACTTTGGACTAAAATTTTTCCCATTTCAATTCCAAAGTGTCGATTCGATGCTCATTTGATGATTCATTTCCAAGCAATCTGGTACAGGGTAACCAGAACAGAGAATTCTAGAAGAGAAAGGAACTACCTTAATTTGGTTCATAACTATTCAGATTAAAGATAATTTGTATAGAATTAAAAGGTATCATCACACCAGAACATGAAAAGACAATGTTTGGTGTAGGAAGCGTTTAGAACACATACATTTTCTCATATTCAATTGTTCAGAGCCTGTGAATAATTTTTCTTGTATTCTCATTGTTCAGTACATCTGATCTCTGATCACTGACATTGACCATGATCTTGGCTTCTATTGCCCAAAAAATTCTTCTGAATGTCCTTCATAGTAGAGGCCTTAAGTCAGCAATACATTGTACACCACCAGCAAAAAAAAAGGGTTGGGCATATGAAGCTCTAAAGTGCATACATTTTCTTGTACTCATTGTTCAGAACCTCTGTATCTGACATTACCGACATTGACCATGACCGCGACCTACTGCCCATAGAGTTCTTCCGAATGCTCCTCATATTCGAGGACTTTATCCGATGCTTAACCACCCAATAACACATTATCCCCAAAGTTGAAGCCATTATTGTTGTCCCTATAATTGTCACTGCAATACCAAGCCACTTTTGATCCTTACCAACCACAACAAATGACATCGCCAAGAATGCTACCGAAATAAGCACACAAGCCAACCACATTAGCTTGTTTATATACGACATCATCTGCTGCTTTGCCTTGCTTTCGATGAGCACAACTGAGGTTTGCACCACCACGACCGCAAGGGAAATGAAGAGGGCAATAGAATCAAAGATGAAGAAAATCAGAAATGCCACCTTTGGAGCAATTTTTGCTTCTCCTAGAGAATATCCATTAGGGATTTCGCCGGGGTCATCAACAAAGTCACCAGGCAATTGGAAAATGGCTGCAAAGGCAACAGTGGCAATGAGGACCGCGACAACAGTTGTGGAGTTGATGGCATTGTTAAGTCCTTCGGCATGCATTTTTCTTAGGCGCTTGGCAATGCCATGCACGCGTTTTCTAGTCTGGCGAGTGTGTTCTAGCTGGTGGTGGACTTCGTGCTTTATGTCACTCACGGTTTGCTTCAACTCCCGGGCTGGATTTGTTGCTTGTGGCTTGATGGTCTTGGCATTCGGAACTCCATGCTCCCGCAGCATGGCTGCAATATCAGCATTCCCAATTTTCTCTGCGGTATCAAGGGCTGTTTCATGAGACCTGTTAATAATAGCTTTTGTATCGGCTCCACTCTGCTCTAGTAGCATCTTAACGATCTGCAAAGAAAGAACAAGTTTAAGTCAGCTCTCCCTCTCATCTAATTCTGTTGATATGTGATTTCTTTCAGCAGATTTTAGGTGATTTTATCAACAAACATGATAAAATTCAGTCCAAAAGAATGAAAAAGAATATGTGGATAGATTTTAGGTGATTTCAGCAGATTTTAATTCTCAATGTATATACCATTTCTTTATTCAATATAGTTTCAAGATTTTGTTGCTTTGAATCAGCATACAAGTTCCAACACCAGTGCTCATAACAATACATGGAAGCTTTATATACAAAAATAGATCAGTGTTTGTGTGTTTTATATGTACTATTTATTTAGACCATGTTGTTAAGCTCAAAAATAGATCTCTGGTAAGGTTATCATATGCAATCTTTAGTGAAGCTATCAATTAATGGAGCAATATAATTGCCCAGAAAAAAAAAAAAAAAATTAAAAAAAATAATAACAATAAAAGAGCAATATAATTCATCATAATTTTGTGGCACTTCTGCTTATCAAATAAAAATTTTCACGTGGATTAGAACTGGAAAGTTTTTGTAGCTTTCCTTTTTATTTTGTGTCAATTTATCCAACCAATGTCAAAAAAGTTGAAACCAAGTGTTTTAAAGTAAATGTAGCCTAGTATCATGCCTTCTACTCAATAGATGCAAAACAAATTCCAATCAAACTATGGTCAGCACAGAAATCACAAGCTTTTTTACACTGAAGATGGATTGATGATGAATTAGAATTTAGAAACGCGAATTTACCTGAGCCCTGCCTTTTCTAGATGCAATATGCAGTGCTGTGTTTCCCTTAGAATCAACTATGTTTATCGACGAAGGATCTCCCTTGATCAGCTCCTCCACCACCTCAAGATTCTGGCCCTTCACTGCCATGTGAAGTGCAGTCTGGCCCTTCTTATCGTTCCTCGTTGCAATGCCTGGCTCCTTCCCCAAAAGTGCCCTCAACACCTCCACATGCCCATTTCTTGCAGCAGAATGCAAAGCTGTTTTCCCATTACTTTTAGCTATAGCCGCCAGGCTGCTCTCAAACTCCAAGAGAAAATTCACCACCTCTATATGCCCTTGCGTCGCTGCAGTGTGCAGAGCTGTTGTGTTCGATGCATCAACGGTCATAGAGAGCTCCGGATGTGCCTCCATTAGCACTTTCACCACCTCTGTAACACACACAAAGCAAAACTCATTCTTGCCTCCAAAAAGAAAACAAATTATCGTGAAAAGCAAAAACAGATCGAGTAATGCTATCAAGAGAGCCCTCTCATGACAAGAGTAATGCTATCTCACGACTCTTGTCATTAGAGGGCTCTCGTGATAGCATTACTCAAAAAAGAATTATGATTACAGAGGCATTACCTAGATCCCCTTGTTTAGCAGCAATGTGCAATGCGTCAAAGCCGTTCCTTGCTTTGATCCCAGCAGTGACAAGGTCATAGTACTGAATCATCTCCCTAACCAAATCAACATAACCATATTCTGCAGCAACATAAAGAGGTGTTTCACCGGCTTGGTTCTGCGTCGACAACAATTCTTCCAATTCGTCTTCTCTGGTACCGGCTAAGATCTCCGTTACCACATCAAGCTGTCCTGCTCTGGCTGCTGAATGCAGTGAAGTGTTGTCGCGCTTCCATGTCAATTGCTTCGTCATCTTTTTCTTCGGTGTTGTGTTCTGCTGCTGCTCTGCTGGTGCCTCCATTGGATACAACAGCCAAAAATCCCCTTCCTTGGCTAATGCTAATCAATAATATCACTCTCTTCTTCCTCCCCTCAAAAGCCCACATCAACCGTCTCAATTTCAATCCCAAAAAAACAATATTTAATCAAAACAACCCACAAAACAGATCATTTGAATTCCTTCAGCATTCAACCAATGCTAAAAGTTGGAATTCGATTCCACCAGTCCCTCTTGAATACCAAATCAATGACCTATTGACAACAAACGCCCAAAATTATTTTCATTAATCCACCTTATACCCATGATCATAATACATAATCTTATATATATATATATATATATATATATATATGTATGTGTTTCTTATCCTAGATGGATTACAACTAGAAGATTAATTGAATTGAATTCAAAATGGAGGAAAGAGGAGATTAGAAAAAGGGCAAAATATTTACCTGAAGAAAAGAGCAACTTTTGCTCTCCATCAATAACAAAAGAAGTCATATTTGTATATGAAGAGCTGTGTATATGATCAAAACACCCTGTAAATTGGTTATAGAGATGGTTTCAACCCAAGTTTAGAGCTGTTTCTTTATATTGGAACCAATAAAGGTTAAGGAAAGGAACAAAAGCTAGAGGTTAAAAGACTGGGCGACATGAAAGGCACATGTATGCAACAAAAATTTGTGTGTGTGTGTGTGTATATATGTGTGTGTGTGTGTGTGTGTATGTATGTACGCACAAATCTGAATCACAAGCAGAGCTCTAATTTAAAAGGCCAAAACCAAATTTAAAAACCAATAAAGGAGGGCCTTTTGTAAAGTTGGTGATGATGATGATGATGGTTAAATGAGAAATTGAGAATCTAAGAAAAATTATATAAATTACAGAGAGACCCCAGAAAAAGGCCTAAGAAGAAATGAGATCATAGGTAGTGGGAAATGAGGGCAACGGTAATACCAGAAACAAGCGCGTTGGTTAACGAATGGTGGTAGTGGGATGTCCCCGAAGCACGCGGGTGGTTTATAGTTTTGTGTAAAGTTTGTTCCACACGCAGAAAGGCGCGTGGTTTGCACTCCTGGTAAAGAAAGCAGGTCAAAAGCTATAATATATATATATATATATATATATATATATATATATATATATTTTTCAGAAGTTTTGGCAAACTATGCAGTACATGCATAAATGCAAACTCATTGGTGAGATGTTGCTACATTGCAACAGTTTTGATTATTAAGATAATATAAAAATGCCTTCAACATATATATAGTTTTTAAAGGGTATTAATATTTTTTCTCACAACTAATTTAGAAAACCCTATTTTTGGTGGCAAAAATTTTGCCTAGGGTTGACATTTAAAAAACCCCTTTTTCATTGCAACATTGCGTGAATATTTGTTATATATTTTTGAATGCTCTTTAAAGTAGAAATACCAAGTATTATTTTTTACTTTTGTAAAAATATATTGAGAGTATTTTTGTCTCTTACATGAAAAATCATCATGCAGTTGATAAAATTAATTGATCCTTAGTTGACTAGCGGAGGAGGTAACTATATCAAAACAAATGCTAAATTGTGTGAAATTTTATTTAGTAGCAATGAGTTGTTTGAATCTAAAATCTTAACAACCTGGTTGGTTTAGTATTTTATAATTAAAAAGCATATTACAATTAAAAAATGGACTTTGCTAAGTACAATCGCTTGTGTATTAGTTTAGAATCAGTTACTCAGGATCATTTATGATTTTAAAGTTGTTTATTTGGGTGTAGAAACCTATCATCATAATAACTTCTTTTACTTTTCATTCTATTGACAAGTCACGTGATTTATTGGCCACGTGTTTGTTTGCCCTCTGTTAAATAAATAAAAAAACGCAAATATCTGCGAGCTTTTTTTTGTTTTTAACGAAGGACAAACAAAAACGTGATCAATAAATAACGTGACTTGCTAGTTAAAAAAAAAAAAAAATTATTATACTCAGATAAATAATTTTAAAGTCATAAATGATACCGAGTAATTAATTCCTAGACTGATACCAGCGACTGTAAAGCCAAAGCCTTTCAAAAATAGTTTTCTGAAATTAAAAATAAAAATAAAAAATAAATAAAAAATAAAAAATAAAAAAATTCTCTGAAAGCTGAGTTAATAAGTGACATGCTTCTAACAGTTTGTAGACTCGATTGGGTGGGCCATATTTGATGCCGAAATGATCATAATCTAATTTGATTTCTAAGAATGCCGTGTCCACTCCACTGGCGATCCATATAGATTATAGATATATCACTCAAAAAGTGGATAGAGCACTTATTTGAATGAAAATAAAGGAGGGCACGTGTGCATATGATTATTCTATTTTTTCCAAGTAGAGAGGCTGGGACGGCGCTGTGAGTGTGATATATTACCCCACTATTCTTTTTCTTTTTGCTTTTTCTTTCCTTGATTTTGTTAAATTAAGTAATTTCGCACATATTAAGTTTGGATCTTAATTCTTTTTTCCCTTTTCTTTTTATTTTATATCTTCCCTTTTCTTTTCACCCTCATCTATAATTTTTTTTTTTTGGTTGATGATTTCTTTTTACGAAACACAGAGAAAGGGTAGATTAGAGAGACTGAGAGAGAGAAATTTATTTCCCATCCTTTTTTATTTTCTGACACAGAGAAATAAAAGGAGGTTATAAAGCTCAATTAATTTTCATTTATGAGGGTCATTTTGGTCAATAAAAAGAGATTATAAAGTAATTTAATGATTCAATTGGTCAATTCAAAAGTCAAATGGTAAGTACGTACTTTTATCATGGTTATAATCTCATTATTCAGTTTACTAAATTTGTGAGGTGTCATTACCCAAAAAGTGCCTAAATTGTATTATAGATTGTTATCTTTAACCCAAACTTTGGATTAGTGCAATTTACTCTCTCTTTTTTTTTCTCTTTTTTTTTTAGTAAATTACATTAAACTTCGTTGTATGTGAGTAACACATACCTCCCCTCGCTATAATTTACCTTTTTTTCTTTTTATTTTTTACTAAGCAAGTACTCAAACACACTTCACAAATTGCTCACTACTTATATTTTTTTTTTTCAAAAAATTCTATTTTTATTTTGATAATTACCTTTTATTGATAAAATTAAGAGAAATGATAGGTCTTCCGACTTCAATCGTCGACTCTTCTTCCGAATACAAAGTGGTTGGACCAAGTTGGAATTCTTAAAAAAAAATCCGTAAATATCTCTTTCTCTTCGACTCATTCCCAACTACGTTGTATTTGAAGGAGAAGTCGGTAATTAAAGTCGGAAGACCTATCATTTTTCTAAAATTAAATATGAAAACTATAAATAGGGTGGGTTTGAAAGAATAACCATTAAATTTAATCTAACGCTCCATATAGAAAATATAAATTAATTTTCTTAGTCTACGGGGAGCAAGAGATCAGGACTAGTGGATACACTACTTATTTGAATGAAAATAAGTATAGGCTGGGACGCACGATGAGTGTGATATATATTACCCCATTATTCTCCTTCTTTTTTCTTTTTCTTTCCTTGATTTTGTTAAATTAAGTAATTTCGCACATATTAAGTTTGGATCTTAATTCTTTCTTTCTTTTTATTTTTCTTTTTATTTTATATCTTCCCTTTTCTTTTTATATATATATTTATTTTTTGGTTGATGATTTCTTTAACGAAACACAAAGAAAGGGTAGATTAGAGAGAATGAGAGAGAGGAAAATTTATTTTCCATCCTTTTTTATTTTTTGACACAGAGAAATAAAAGGAGGTTATGAAGCTCAATTAATTTTCATTTATGAAGGCCATTTTGGTCAATAAAAAAGAGATTATAAAGGTAATTTATTGATTCACAATAGTCAATTCAAAAGTCAAATGATAAGTACGTACTTTTATCATGGTTGTAATAAAAAATTGTCCAAAAAGTGCCTAAATTGTACTATTATAAATTATTGTCTTTAACCCAAACTGTGGGTCAGTGCAATTACCATCTCTATTTCTTTTTAGTAAATTACATTAAACTTCTTTAACGAAAAAAAAATTACATTAAACTTCATTGTATGTAAATAATAGTAGTACATACCTCCCCTTCGGTATAATTTATTCCTTTTTTCTTCAGTTTTTTGTTAAGCAAGTAGTCACACACACTTCACAAATTGCCCATTACAGAATTGGAAGCCTTCGCTTCCCTTGAAGAGAAATTCCCTTAACAAATCACAAATTATAACATAAAGCTAATGACCCATTGGTTTTGGATATATGAATTTGTTCATGACCCTAGTAATTTATTGGACAAATTACCACCAAGTCTTACTTTTTTCAATGAAAGACAAATAAGTCCTACAAATTATCCTTTAAGATCAATAAGTCTTACTTTTAAATTTTTTTTATTTAAGGCCTAAATAACTAAAAATCTTTTACTTATACCCTTACCAAAGTACTTATACCCTTACTGAATTAGACATACTCTCGCTAAATTAGATATAAAATCAAACTTTCATATTTAACGTCACAAAATCAGACATAAAATTTAAATTAAAAAAATAAATTTTGGGGGTAATTACAATGACCTCCCTTGAGATTTCCCCTCTTGTTTGTCAAATAACAAAGACCTCCCTTGTCAAAACATTTGGATGGTTGGCGTTAACTTTTATACTGGAATTATATTTCTGTCCTTATTACATATGTATTGTATTTTATTACAAACTCAATGGAATTTGAAAAGACAAAAAGGCCCAAAACCTATCTTTCAGCCTCGACACAAGCCACTGCCTGTAACAAACAACACAAGTAATTGCCGTCAGAATCAATGGAGCTAACAGTTGGTTCGTTTTGCTTGGAGCTCGCTGATATGAACTTGGTGTTGTCGACGCTTGGAGCTTGCCGTGTGTGAGCTTGGTTCGCCAAAATTAAGCAGAAAGATACAGAAAATACAGAGAGGGAGAGCTTGAAACTAGTCGGGTTCCATGTACCGAACATCAAATATCAACGAAAAGCCCCAGTAACATAGGTGGGCACTCTCATCCTCACAGTCCTCATCGCCGGAACAATGAAGAACCCACCGACGATGATAGAACTAACCAGCGTCAAATGAATCCGGTGAAAGGATGTAAGCCAGAAGGATGACGACAAGCACGATAAGTTACGGCGACGGACAACGACAATGGGCAAGGATGAACGGCTGACGGCACCATTTTCATCTTCTTGCACATCATAGCCTCTGCCATTTCAGCCGTCATAACCACCGACCGCTTCATTTCCAATCATCTCTTTGCTCACCGGTTCATTCTGCTGGTTCTGTCCTGCAGCCATTTCAGCACTCTTTGCCGCCAATCAAACTTAGTTCTCACAACCGTCACTGCCGCTTTTGAAATCATGTAGGCGAGCAGCCGCTGTCTTTGCACCGCCTGAAAATCTCTTCATCATCTGTTTATCCTTAGGCACATCCCTGCTGTCGGTTACTTCTACGTTTGCCGCCACTGATCATTGCCTTCTTCACGGTCTTGCCAAGCATCCTCACGAGCTTGCCATCTTCGTCATCCACCAAGCACTCCTTGCTTGTCGCCAGTGGTTTTAGCTGATCTCACATTGCTCATCGCCGTTCGTGTGAATTATTATTGTTGGCAGTTAAGAGTATAAAAGGAAAATAGGCTTATCTTAATAATCCTACATTGATAAAGTTTTGACCAAGTTTGGTATGCATAACTCAAAGAATGAGTTCTTGCTTTATTGATATGAATGGCTATCTCTAGTAAGTAGTTTTTCAAGACTATCAAAGGAGATTGAGCAAATGAGACTGGAACAATATGCTTCGGCATATGAGAGTCTCATATATGCCATGGTCTATACCAAACAGGACATCCGCTACATAGTAGGGATAGTCAGTAGAGATCAGTCCAATACTGGACTT